CCCCAAAACTGTTCCCACAAAGTTGGGAGCATGAAATTGTCCAAAATGTCTTGGTATGCTGATGCCTTAAGAGTTCCCTTCACTGGAACTATGGGGCCAAGCCCAATGTCACAATGCAGTCAGGCAAGTACCGTTCTCCTGGCAAACACCAAACCCAGACATGTCCATTGGATTGCCAGACAGAGAATTGTGATTTGTCACTCCAGAGAGCACGTCTCCACTGGTCTAGAGTCCAGTGGCGGCATGCTTTACACCACTGCAGCCGACACTTTGCATTGCACTTGGTGATGTAAAGTTTGAATACAGCTGCTTGCTCATGGAAGCCCATTCCATGAAGCTCTCTACGCACTTTTGTTGTGCTAATCTGAAGGCCACATGAAGTTTGGAGGTCTTTAGCTTGTGATTCTGCAGACAGTTGGTGACTTCTGCGCACTGTGCGCTTCAGCATACGCTGTCCCCTCTCTTTCATTTTATTGTGGCCTATCACTTTGTGGATGAGTTGCTGTTGTTCCCAGCTGCTTTCTCTTTGTTAAAATATCACTAACAGTTGACTGTGGAATATTTAGTAGCAAGGAAATTTCACAGATGGACTCATTGCACAGGTGGCAACCTATCACGATATCACGCTTGAATTCACTGAGCTCCTGAGAGCGACCCATTCTTTCACAAACATTTGTAGAAGAAGTCTGCATGCCTATGTGTTTGATTTTATATATCTGTGGTCATGGAGGGGATTGGAACACCTAAATCCAATGATTTGGAGGAGTGTCACAATACGTTTGGTAATTTAATGTGTGTGTGTATATAGATATATATCTCACTGAAGTGAGTACACCCCTCACATTTTTGTAAATATTTTATTCTATCTTTTCATGTGACAACACTGAAGAAATGACACTTTGCTACAATGTAAAGCAGTGAGTGTATAGCTTGTATAACAGTGTAAATTTGCTGTCCCCTCAAAATAACTCAGCACACAGCCATTAATGTCTAAACCTCTGGCAACAAAGGTGAGTACACCCCTAAGTGAAAATGTCCAAATTGGGCCTAATTAGCCATTTTCCCACCCCGGTGTCATGTGACTCGTTAGTGTTACAAGGTCTCAGGTGTGAATGGGGAGCAGGTGTGTTAAATTTGTTGTTATCACTCTCACTCTCTCATACTGGTCACTGAAGTTCAACATGGCACCTCATGGCAAAGAATTCTCTGAGGATCTGAAAAAGAGAATTGTTGCTCTACATAAAGATGGCTTAGGCTATAAGAAGATTGCTAAGACTCTGAAACTGAGCTGCAGCACGGTGGCCAAGACCTGACAGCGGTTTAACAGGGCAGGTTCCACTCAGAACAGGCCTCTCCATGGTCGACCAAAGACATTGACTGCACGTGCTTAGCATCATATCCAGAGGTTGTCTTTGGGAAATAGACATATCAGTGCTGCCAGCATTGCTGCAGAGGTTGAAGGGGTAGGGGGTCAGCCTTTCAGTGCTCAGACCACACACCGCACCCTGCATCAAATTGGTCTGCATGGCTGTCATCCCAGAAGGAAGCCTCTTCTAAAGATGATGCACAAGAAAGCCCACAAACAGTTTGCTGAAGACAAGCAGACTAAGGATGTGGATTACTGGAATCATGTCCTGTGGTCTGATGAGACCAAGATAAACTTATTTGGTTCAGATGGTGTTAAGCGTTTGGGGCAGCAACCAGGTGAGGAGTACAAAGACAAGTGTGTCTTGCCTACAGTCAAGTATGGTGGTGGGAGTGTCATGGTCTGGGGCTGCATGAGTGCTGCCAACACTGGGGAGCTACAGTTCATTGAGGGAACCATAAATGTCAACATGTAGTGTGACATACTGAAGCAGAGCATGATCTCCTCCCTTTGGAGACTGTGCCGCAGGGCAGTACTCCAACATGATAATGACCCCAAACACACCTCCAAGACGACCACTGCCTTTCTAAAGAATGTGAGGGTAAAGGTGATGGACTGGCCAAGCATGTCTCCAGACCTAAACCCTATTGAACATCTGTGGGGCATCCTCAAATGGAAGGTGGAGGAGCGCAAGGACTCTAATATCCACCAGCTCTGTGATGTCGTCATGGAGGAGTGGAAGAGGACTCCAGTGACAACCTGTGAAGCTCTGGTGAACTCCATGCCCAAGAGGGTTAAGGCAGTGCTGGAAAATAATGGTGGCCACACAAAATATTGACACTTTGGGCCCAATTTGAACATTTTCACTTAGGGGTGTACTCACTTTTGTTGCCAGCGGTTTAGGCATTAATGGCTGTGTGTTGAGTTATTTTGAGGGAACAGCAAATTTACATATAAAAGCTGTACACTCACTACTGTACATTGTTAATTTCTTCAGTGTTGTCACATGAAAAGATATAATAAAATTATTACAAAAATGTGATGGGTGAACTCATTTCTGTGAGCTACTGTGTGTATGTGTATATGTACACACACACCTCTACACATACCTAAAAATGTGATTATATAAATACATAAATAAACCAGTAAAGTAAGTTAATAAAGAATCATTAAGTAAATCTACAAGTAAATTGAAACCTTGTGATAGCAGCTGATCCTACTATATATATGTCTGTCTGCTATAATAAATAAATAATTTTAATTTTTAACTCTTCCTATTGAAATAATTATGATTCAGTTACAGGCTGGGGTGAGTTCAGAATGACCTGGGCTCAGATGAAGTAGGTTAAATGATGCTAGCCATTAGAGTGAGGGCATATAGTGGCAGAAAATGAAAATTTTTGGATTGAAGTTAAATTTTCCAGAAAAAGATGGTCTTGTAATTTTATCATTTAATGGTCGGTTTAACTTCGCTTGTTATTGCAGAGTCCTGCTTTAAAATATGGAAGTATAGAAATATGCGTACCAGCATAGGAGTATTTAGTCTGAGAGGCTTTCATAATGCTTCCTTTGTGGAGACAGACTCCTATCCTTTTTTGTACATTTTTGATAGCTACTGGAGATTTAAACCACCTAAACATTTTTAATATCTCTCAGGTACTCTCTCACTGAGATATATGCATTTGAGCTGGTGGATCTGCATACCTGCACTTCTCTAAAGGCACCCTTTAAATTGATGTTCAGTAAAAAATGCTTCCTTACACTAGTGCACAGTACAGCCTCCCCTTTGTATTTATGGTTAGTGGAAAGGCCCAAAATGTCACATTTCTTTGCCGTGACAAGAGCAAAGGAGTGTCTCAGAGCTTGCATGTGTAAGCTCTAATACACTCTAGTTGGAGCTTGCAGAGTGGCTGAGAACTCCTCCCACTCTTGTATGAGTGTACCTGGAAGTATCAGACATTTTTCTTTGCTGTGGTAGCTAAACAGAGCAGCATGTTAGTCAAGGAAAAGTAAATATAAACTCCTGGGATGGTGGCATTAAAGCAGATTTATTGTTTTGCCATTGCAGTGTGTGTGTGTTAAGGAATTAAACATGAAAATTATGAAATTATTATAGAAAATCTGGAGTAATACTGTTTCTTTACTTATTCACCCACGAGTTTGGTGGAGAGATAAAAGCTTTTAGTCAGGCAAAAGACATAGGTGTTGACATTTTTATAGCCTTTAGAACTGGTCTACAACAGGGACCTTTGTCATTAATGGTAAATAGAAAATAATTTGTATGCTACTCTGTCTAGGGCAACCTTTCTCAACCTTTTTACCCCAAAGGAACACTTAAAATAATTTTCATTTTTTTTCTAGAACCTCTGCTAAAACTCAGGGGTCATTTTGAAAAATACCACTGTGATAATGAGTGGGAAGAATGTACCACACAACAGTGGCGGTCAAAATGTCCACTTTACAGAACATTAAAAAGATAACTTGTGTAAAGCAACTGGCTCTGCCAAGTGGTGTTGGCCCTAAAACGAAGCAGACAGCATTAAATTGGAGGTCAATTAGCTGTGGATCAACAAACCCCTTGTAACATCTGGAGGAACTTTGAGGTTCCATGGAACCTTGGTTAAGAATAGCCGATTTTATGACAGTTAAAAATGTTTAAATATTCTTCATTTATGCATTTACAGAAGAACATTTGATAGGACAGAACACAGTCACCTTTGTAGAACTGTTGTAATTATGGTAGTGATATACTATTATTTATAGTTTGTATACTTCCTCTGCTGTTAAATCATCTTTCTTACTAAAGCTTACATTGTAATGTTCAGTTGTTTGGGCGAGTCATGGTCTTCTAAAATCTAGGATATTGCCCACCCCATATATATGCTCTAAAACAGAACTAAATAAGGAAAAAAAAAATATGAGCAGGCAGGCTATTTATTACAGACGATACATACTGTACTATGTCTTTTCTGCAATAAACTAAACTTACCTGCCTGTTCACAGCCTTCTTTACAATGTACATTGGAGTTGATTGCTAAAGACAAATATACTGTGTACTTTGCATGTGTGGCTGCTCCAGAACTTAGTAAATGAGGGGAAATTTTGCCGACTTACATCATCCAATCATGTGCAAGCAAAATACTGTTTTGTTTTTTTTATTTTCCTTGCATGTGATAGGATATTCTTTGCAGAGTAAAGCTTCACCACATGCAAAGTGCACAGTCTATTTGCCTTTAGTAAATAACCCCCATTGAGTTACACATGCACAGCTTGGGGTACATCCTTGCTTGCATGGGACTTACATCATCCCACGCTGGCCAGTCAAGATGGCCAAAAACTCAGGACCCAGAAGCCAGGGAGAAGATCACAAGAAGGTGGAGGAACCTAGCCAACTTTGGATCATTGGAGCACAGCTGAGTATTTGTGGCTTTAACTCTGCTTTCATTCTGATTGAACAGAACATTAAACTATTATTTAGGTTTTAATTAATTACTACGTTGTTTGTTTGCAGGCTAATGTCATACCTTCTGGCTCATTAGTAACAGAGTTTGCCCAGATTACCTCATATGGATCAAGTTCCCTGTCATCAGTACAGAATGAGTCTTTCTCATTGGCCCAACAGAATGGCAGTCAATTTAGCTCTGAAGAAACTGTTGAACCTCCCATCTCACCACAGATCAATGGAAAAACAAGCAGTGATGAATTTGATCAAATCATTAAGCAAATGGCACAGGTATGTGTTGTTGTGAATATAGTCATTTTCTAACTAAACATTTATTAAAGTGGTATTAAACACAAAAAATTAATAATATATTGCAGATTACCAGCAGATTTCTTAGATGAGGTGGCTGCATCGGTTTTCTTTTTCAGGCTCTATTTTCACCTGGTGATCCTGCTAGTAAGTCCTAAAACTGAACATTCCTGTTCAAGTGGCAGTTGACCATGGATGCCCTCCCAGAACTAGCCGACCACCCCGTAGCTGTCTTTTGGCTATAGCACGGTCGGGAAGTGTTTAAGGTGCAATTAAATCCATCGATTTAATGGTTTTCCAAAACAGTTGCATTTATGCCATTCCATGAATGATAACTGTTACGGTTGTATGTGGTCTCAACTGAAATGTCAAGCCAATAAATAGCTAGGGTCACAACTGATCACATGTGCAACACAACAGGAAATGCAGATCAAACATAAGATGGCAGCTCTCTTGGCTGTAAAGTAGAGAAGAGTTTAATTCTGCTTTAAGGATTAGTAAGCTGCAATATATTACACTTTTATTTGGGGTTTAATACTGCTTTATGGATTGCTATTGAAAATAGTTTTTGTTGTTATTAAAACTTACACCATTCTTTCTGATCTTGAACTTCTCATTTCTCCAGGGCTAAGAACCACACTTTTAAGTTTTATATGTTGCACAAACTCCAATGAAAGGCCAGTATTTGCCTCTCTATTTAGATTATTTAAATTTGCATTGTCTGCAGACTTTTGAACCAGTTATAAATTATTATTTACAATGGCAACTTCATTTGTTCAAGCTTTTGGATACAACACTGATTTGTTAATGTATGTGTTTTTGGATTTTTGTTACAGGGTCGCCATATTGAAGTACTGGACATGGTTAAACCCTTAAGTGGTGGTCTTGGTTTTAGTGTTGTGGGATTGAAAAGTGAAAATCGAGGAGAACTTGGAATATTTGTTCAGGAAATACAGGAGGGCAGCATTGCACATAGGTGAACATCACTTTTATTTCAGCACAGACTTTTAAGATTTTGACAATGGCCTAATAAATAAATACCTCCTGTAGATGGTATGTTCTAATACAGTCTTAGCCATGAGTACACTTCTGCTCTTTAAATTAAAACCAAAGTTCTGATTTACAGTCATCTCACAGCTAAAACACGCAATATGCCATAAGTTAAGTTTGGAATGGCTGGTGGTCTGCTGAAACGTTGATAAGTTAAAATCCAGCAAGAGATTTTGAAGGGAAATAAAAGTTACACACATGTGGTCAGGAAATCATGAGTTACTATCACTTGCTTGTATGTTGCATTCATTTGTTCTCCCATACAAGAATGTGAAATTTGGCATTTACGGAGTTGCTACTAACAGATTTAGGCTAATTAGAGTTCAAACAGATATATTTAAAAATATCAGTGCTTCATGTGAATGGGAACCTCAAGTCTGAAGTCTTGCATAGTGCTCCTTTTCCAATCTGATCATATACAAGAGGAAACTAACCAAGAGGAACTCTGTAATGCATAGGCCTTGCTGTCCACTTCGGATAGCGGAGATCCTTGACTAAAGGCTGGAATAAAGACAAAAAGAAAGGGCGTAGCGAACGCGGGCGGTGGTTTCTTCATCAGTAGAAAGCTCTAATGAACAGAGCACTGCCCTTGCGGATGGGCACCAGTTGTTAATCTGGTCTGGATTTATTTTATGGTTGAAGTTGTTCACCTTTTGTGAGTTCTTTATTGATGCACTAGCATGATGCGTCCTCACTTTGTCTTTGTTTCACATTTAAAATTATCTTAAAGGAAACCTGTTATTAAATTAGATGTGGACTGCTGTTACTGATCTGCTGAAAAAGCTTGATGCCTATAATGACCCATTGGCTTTAGTACAAGTCACACACATACCCGGAATAAATATGCAGATTTGGAAAGTCAGAGAAAAGTCAAAAATTATCTGCATAGGTGTTCCAGGTCACTCAGTCAAAATATTGAAGATAGAGAGGTCTACATGACAACCAGGCAACTAGAATTTTTTGGTAGAGAAGATCCAGTAATGTAATTTACAGCCTACAAAGATTTTACATGGTGCATACTGAATAGCAGTGTGCCAGGTGGAACGAAAGACAAATACATTATGGATATGGTCAACTATAAGAATTCAGGCCATGTAATTAAAATTTTGGGATAGAATTGTTTTTGTACTGTAATTTTACTATGCTTAAACCTTAAAATATCTGAAGTTGAATCCATATGATATATATATTTTTTATAGGGATGGAAGATTGAAGGAAGTGGACCAGATTCTTTCCATCAATGGTCAACCACTTGATCAGACAATTACACATCACCAAGCCATCAGCCTCTTACAGAGAGCCAAAGAACATGTACAGCTTGTGGTTGCTAGAGGACCATTGCCTCAGCTGGTTAGCCCTATGGTATCTCGCTCACCATCCGATGCCAGCACAGTATCTGCACTTTCAAGTCCAGTGAGTGCTGCCTTGCTGAATCATGCAGATTATAATATTGGCACTTATATTAAATGTTTAACAGAATGTAAATAAAGATCAATCCATAAGGGCCAATTCATATTTGTCCATTTTCCTGCAGGAAAACACATGCATTTTACTGCATGAAAATGCATTTTAAGTACAAAAGTTACATTCTTTTTGGGAAATGGTTTACATCTCATGGACTGCAAAGTGTATGTTTTTAAAGGAAAACTATATGGGGCACATTCCCATCTCTGTTACTACTCCCTATGCAATATGCGATCATAAGTGTAAATGAGCCCTTAGAAATGGAAAGATGTATAAATAAAATATAAGTATTTTGTAGGAGACCGAAAATAATTAAATGGCTTCAATTATGTGGGCCTCATGCATAAAGTCACTGAAACTGTGAATGCCAAAACATTTGTTCTTGCTTTAGATTTTAAAGGGAATGGTTAAAACCTATCAGATTTTTTTTTTTTTTTTTTTTTTTGCTAGGTCCTTTTGGGGGAGTTTCCATTCACTTCCTGTACCAGAGACACAATGGGAACTGAATGGAAATCTCCTGATTCCTCACTGTTCTGATGACAGGTTTATAATGATACTTTTCCCATTTCTTTCTGTCCCAGTGACAGTGGTCTCAAAGACAAACGGTGAATCTGGCCAACAGGGACATATACAGCCAGTGCCTTTTTAAATGAAAAGCTGTCTTTTTTTTTTTTTTCTCTTTATTGCTTTACTTTTCCTCTTTTGCTCTAACATGCTTTTGTAGGATCCTTCACATAATAAGCCTGTCACAGTTAACAATACAATTCTTAAGATCGTGGAAGTGCCAAAATCATACATAAATGACATAGCTCCATTTAGCTACGGGGAAAGGGCAAACTGACAGATTCTCTTGAAATAATGCATTTTTTGTAGTTCTAATTGGGGAAACTGGACTTGAAAAAAAACATTTTGTTCTTGCACGTGAGCTCTATTTTTTTTATTATGCTTCATCAGATACACTGGCAGCATGTGGAGACTGTTGAACTGGTTAATGATGGTTCTGGTCTTGGTTTTGGAATTGTTGGAGGTAAATCAACTGGAGTTATTGTCAAAACCATTCTTCCTGGAGGAGTGGCAGATCAGGTTGGTTTATAGTCTTCTTATGTGCATTTATTGAGATGTGATTTAAGAGTGGTATTTAGATTCACACATACATAAAGCTACTGTATGTTAGATGAATGTTATTGTTAGTAGACAAATGTCTTCAAGCACTAGTTTGTCTACCAATCATTACTTTACAGTGGCTTGATGAAGATTAAAATTTTGATCCAAATGCTTGAAAAACCATCCAGTTAGAAGTTAGCACAAATACATCTTCATGTTATATTGTTTGGCATTAATTGGTAAATTAACAAAAAGAGACCCTTAATTTTATTGGACAGAAGACGTACCTGCATATAGCCTGCATAAATCTGCTGCCTTATGCACCTTGGGGTCACCATACTCGGGTAGATATTTAAGGCCTATTGCACACTGCTGCATATTTTTTTTTTACTGATCTAAATGTAGACCATTGTTTTCAATACGCACGTATGCCAAACTCCCTTGATTAAAATGAATCACACAGTAAAATGTATGTTTTCTCTAGAGTGCTATGAACAGCAGTTGGTGATATATTTTCCAACATGTGCTTTCATTAAACTGACTACTATTTTTTCCACTGCCCATGTTTCATATAGTAACGTTATGTCCTTTTATTTCAATCAGAATGGTAGGCTCCATAGTGGAGATCACATATTAAAAATTGGGGAAACTGACCTTGCTGGAATGAGCAGTGAACAGGTTGCTCAAGTTTTGCGGCAGTGTGGAAACAGAGTGAAGCTCGTTATTGCCAGAGGTCCAGTTGTAGACTCTACTACAACAGTTTCTGCCAGTATTCAGACTCCTCCATCAGTACCACCTGTACCCGACTCGCAGGTCAGTATATTCCCATACTGGGTTTTTAAAAATTTTTTTACATATTTGCATTATAGTTAAAGATGCTTTCCATTTCCACATGAAATTACATTTGTTATTATGACATCAGAGATAGATTTATGCATGTATTTTTTTAGCGGGATATTTCAAATGATGGAAAATCTTATGATTTTGCAGGGCCTTGGTGATGGTGAGAAGATTACTGCAGAGCTGGAATGTGTGTTTAGAGAGATCTGGCAAAAGTTGAAGCTTGTAGAATTGGTCAGGAAGATAGTCTGCTTTATGGCATGCCGTCAGGAGTTGTTTTTTAACTTGGTAGAAGTGTATGCGAAGGATGACATCCCTAGGAATTTAGGATGGGAGATGGCTAGGTTTGGGGACCCTGTGAATGCAGTCGATAGCTAAATCTGCTGACGTGAGTGAGGGTCTAAAGGTTAGAAAAAGGTCTCACTAAAATTGTGGTAGTTGCGTTTGTTGGATTGATTCCGGGATTCCGCATAATCACACATTTTATATTCTATCTCTTTATCTCCTAGATCCTGTATATCAGCTTGCATGTGGTGGAAATGGGATTTTATATCATATTGTAAGGATTCTCTAAGTAAAGTTAGCATATTCTTCAGCATATTCTCTGAGACTGGGAGATCAGAGGTGGTAAATGCAGAAAAGGGATCTGCTTGGTGCAGCCATTCAGTAGCGTGGTCGCCACGCACCCCTCAAATGTATTTTTTTAACTTTTTTGTATGAAATGATGGGGCCTTTAAAAGAATTCATGGTAACATTTAGGGCTCATATCAACTAGTGTCGTGAATATGTCAGGGTATATTCGAGTGTATGTCAACGCAAACAATGAATTTCACTCATTTGATTCTTTTAGGTCTGTCTGTTGTCACTTTATAACTTCCTATACTGCACTTATAATATAAGAGGAGAAGCAGATGTGTGGTGTAGTTGTAACACACTTCTTGTCCTACGGTGACAAAACTGCTCCTCCTCGGATTCAGTACAATGAATAAGTGAGCATTGGCACCATAGCACAGTGAGTGTGTTGCTAGCAGGATAACCAGGTGAAAATAAATGGAAAATGTCTGAACAAAGAAAATATAATGTAGCCAGCACATATAAGGGCTGATAAGCTGCAGTATTTTGGCTTTGTCCTTGGATGTAAATATTCTTTATTGCTTAGTGAGCGCTGCAAAAAGCAAAGATGTCGAAGTCTCCTATCTTTATAGACAGACATTATTAATTTATTATTAAATTTACCTTTTTTTTTAAAGCCAGCTGTCATACAATACCTTTACCATTTACCATTAGCTGTGCTGTTTACAGCAATTTATTAATAATGAGTATTGTGCTTTTTTAAATCTATTTTTCATATCTACAGGTGTGATCTTTTTTTTTTTCCCAGGTTAATGGTGGAACGACTAGAGATCCAGATGGTGACAGTTTTGATGTTAAGCTGGCTAAAAATGCTCAGGGTTTGGGAATAACTATTGCTGGTTATGTTGGCGACAAAAGTTCAGGTAACCAAATTCTGCAGATTACTGCTAGACTTAAAGTAGTATTAAACCCTCAATGTTTTTTTATTTTAGTTTAATACATTGAGCATACTAAAATATACATCCTCTGGTAAACTTTTTGTTAAAATTATTTTCCCAGTTTACAATTTTCAATGCTGCTGGCTCCTGCTCTCTTAGGGATGCTTTCCTGAACTTCTGGTCCTTACAGGAAAGAGTTAACAGTGGACAGTTCAGTCTAAAGCCAGTCTGTTAGCTTGGAGAAGGACAGGGAAAGGAGGAGGGAAGTGCAGGGGGGTCAAACAATAAAAAAGAAAAATTCCCAGCTTTAACTTGCCAGCCAGCCTGCAAACAAACCGAACTAACCTGTCTAACAGTATGCGTTAGAAACAGGGGTTTAGTTAGCACACATTTGCAAATACATGCATAAGCTACAGAGCCTCGTCTTGGCACCCCAGTATTCTGCAGTTCGTAACTCTCCAATTTTAAGATCCCCCATAGTAATTGCACATGTATTTATTGGATAGTCCCTTAAGCATTGGACCAACCTCTTGGAGAGCCATCTGACTCGGGTAGTGCCACAGAGCTGGTGTTCAACAACCATCAGTCAATGTATAGGAGACAGATCTCAGAACCCCCCCCCCCCCCCTTCCCAGCCTCCAGGTTTAACAACAAACTGGACAAGTTGTATCCAGGTCTAGTAATATGCTGGCAGTATCAATAGAGCAATAGATGATCTTGGTGGCTCTGTGGGACTGGTACACCCTGATCTATGATTTTCCTCCCCTGACAGTTCTTCCTTGTCTGCTGCACAACATTGAGATAATAGGCATTCTGGTGATCCTCATCCCCAGGTGGATGTGGTATGCCCAACTAGTAATAATTCCCACAAATGTGCTGTGGGCTCTGCCAAACTGTCTAGACCTGCTGGCCCATGGGCCAATTTACCACCCTTCTTCCCAGTTGCTGTCTTCAATGTCATGGTGGTTGAAGCCTAAGTTGCAGGGGACAATGACATCTGAGTCTGATTTTTAAGATGTTCCATTTTCCACACAATCTAGAATTGTAGGAGGGGGGTGTATAGTACCTTGTTGCTTGGCCTAAAGCCTTCCGTCAGAGTTTTTAAGCAGGACGGAGTACCTTTTTTTTTTTTTTTTTTTTTTTTTTTTTTCCAGATAGGTGGTCCAATGTTTGGTTATTAGTACCATCAAGGGCCAGATCTCTGCTCTTTCTATCCTGTTTTAGACACTTTTGGGTCTTGCACAAGGAGAAAGTGGTATGTCTTCCCACGGTGACCCTGCCTTCCCCCTAATTATGATATTGTTCTTCCATCTTCTTGACCAGATTCAGTTCATCAAAAGAAAATTTCCCTCCATTAATTAGCTGGGATTCAGGATGTGCAAGTCTATCTTTCAGCCACAGCTTCTGTCAGGAAGATTGATTCCCTTGTCATTATCCTGGATGATTGCAGTAAGGGTGCTCCAAGCTTCTTGTTGCATCATCTCTAGGTGGCTCAGACAATCCACCATTCAGGTTTATGGTCTTAAGGATTGGGTTTTTCACTTTTTTAGTGAAGCTTTCCTCCACTAAGGCAGAGAGCGCCTTTTGGACTTTTTTGGCATGAGGACACTTTTTACCAGATTTGTAAGACTGCCACCTTTCTTCTGTTCACATATTCTCTAAGTTTAATAGGTAGACGTTTCTGCTTCATTGGATGCCAGCCTCAGGTGGAAGGGGCTTTAAGCAACTTTTTAAACTGCAGGCAGCCCCCCAGTTAGGGTTGCCACCTCATCCCTTTAAAGCCTAATGCACACAGGGCGTTTTTCCAGCCACTTTTATGAGCGTCAGGCATTTTTTGTTTTTTTTTAACTGCTTCCATGCACACAGAGACTTTTAGAAGCTTTTAGTAGGAGTAGCGTTTACCAGCTAGAAATGAACCCCAGAGCCAGTGAGTCCAGGGGCAAAAGCATTTTGGCAGAAAACGCTGACAGCTCCCAAAATCTGCTAAACTCCGGTGCCCAATGCTCTTTTTTTTTTCACTGATTGTTAGGGAGAGGGTCGGGAAGCCGGCTTCTGCATCCTTAACAACTGATAAAACATCAACTGACAGCTGAATGTACGAAGAAAAACATTGCCGGCTATAAAATGTGAAAAAAATGTTGTGGGGGTCCCCCCCAATCCTTACCAGGCCCTTTCGGTGTGTTATGGATTTTAAGGGGAACCCACAGTAAGTAAGAAAAAAAATGGCATAGGGCCGCCCAAAATCCATACCAGACTTATCCGAGCATGCAGCCTGGCAGGTCAGGAAACCATACCAGGCCACATGTCCTAAACATGGATCGGTGCCTTGGGGCAAGGGTGTCCTCCTCAAAGCATCTTGTCCTCATTCTGGTGAGGGCAAGGGCTCTTTCCCACAACTTTGACCTGTGGTTGTGGGGGTCTGCAGGTGGGGGGCTTATCGGAATCTGCCCTCAGATCCCTTCCTCCCATGTGAATGAGTATGGGGTACATAGTACCCCATACTCATTCACTAAAAAAGTATAAGAAGTAAATAAAAACACAACACAAGTTGCTGACAAGTTCTTCATTAAAAAAAAAAGTCTCTTGGCCTAGATCCACCATCAACCACGCCGCCAGCCACCATTGACCCGAAAAAAAAAAAAAAAAAACCCATCCGGTCACAACGAACACTCCTGCCGTCTGGCAGCTTTGCCGTTCGGCAGCTCTTACTAACTAAGGGACGGCGCCATCTGGTGACATCCCTGAGAGACCCTGCCCCCTTGTGACGTCACCAACATGGGGCATACTGGATTGGTGATGTTACAAGGGGAGGGAGTCTCCTGGTGACATTATTGGCCACATTGTTGTTTTTTTTTTTTTTTTTTTGCATGGGGTTCTCCTTAAAATCCATACCAGACTCATAAGGCCTATTTCACATTTTTTTTTTTTATTGCCAGCAATGTTTTTTTTTTTGTTTTTCACATTCAGCTGACAGCTGATGACTCATCTGTTGTTAAGGACTCAGCAGCTGGCTTCCCAACCCGCTCCATAACAACGACAACCCTCTCTTTAATGCTGAAGCTGCTAAACGCAGCTTACACACTAGGCTAAACACTTAACGCTGGCAAAAAACGCTAAAACATTAGCGTTTTTTTTTTGTCCAGTGTTTCTACAGCAGTTTTTAGATTTTCTAGCATGCATGAGATCTAAGACCAAACACATATTAATTACACATTGGCTGATTAAGGTGTTAATTAAACTCACTTAGTGCCTTATCTGCATTAAACTAGCCCTAGCCTCAGAACCTGCATAATTAATATGTGTTTGGTTTTAAAGGGATGAAGTGGCAACCCTATCCCCAGTTCTTGTTGTTTATGTTGGGCCTTTTAGCAGTTGTTTTCTGTGTGCTCACCCCCCAGTTGGACTCTTTTGGGTGTAGTGCAAGTTTAAGACTTCCTATGTCTCTCAATGCGTGAAAGAGAGATAAAAAATATTTTTGTACTTGCCATAAAATCCTTTTCTTGGGGTTTGTTGAAGGACATAGGTCCCACCACTCTGTTTTTATGATCATGCTGATGGTACTACCTAGTTGGTTATACTCTGAGTTGGTCTACTGTTTCTCAAGGTCCGATCTTTCTGTAGGCAGCACTATAACTTTGAAGGTTTACATCTGTCTATTTCCATCAATGAACTCCAGGAAAAAAAATTTATGGTAAATACACAAGTCATACTTATTCTACCAAAGTACACATTAGCGTTGGAATCCACACATACTGTATTGATAATTATCTTTACAGTATATATGTGCTTCTGCACAGGAAAAAACATTTTTGTTGCTTTTTTATCTGAAGGGCATTGTCTATTAACCAAAACATCACATCCGATGACTTTTCTTCTTGACATGCACTGGCTGAAGTGTCTGCAAAGGTATGAAGTATACTCATTAATACCCTGAAAGGGCAGAATTGAGTCTGTGGTATAACTGAAGAAGTAGAATTTGTTATGCCTGCTATGAGAATCTGTGTATTGGGAATGTGTACTATACCAATGTCTCCACACAATGAAAAATTCTGTACATCAGCCAGGTTTGGCTCCTTTTCTTTTCTGCTTTTATATTTGAGATTTGAGCCGTACCAATCTTCTGCTTACAAGCGTGGATCCTAAGGAAGCAAATTATGCAAAACGCGTCGATCCTACATGTTCACACGAGCTGTTGATTTTTCTTCATTGTAAAAAGTTTGGATGTGACTTGTATCTGGTTGAACTCACATATTGACTTTTATTGCGATATTTTACATTTTGTAATAAAAAGTTGTATTTTTACTATATGATTGCATATTATATCTCCCATCTTGGCACACTTTAAAATCCTGCCTCTTTGGTTTCCTCCCTACCCTGTACTTGGTCCTAAGGGGTGGATGGTCTCCTTTTGTCTTTTCTTTTTTGGCAATACATAATAGGGATGGTGCCCTGACTGGGGTTTTTCTGGATAGCTCACTTCACATGTCACATTGTTTCTACTGCTACTATGACATACCATCTAGGGTGTTCATCTATCAAAAATTGATAAAAAAAAGCATATTTGAAAAGCTTCTAGATCTATAGGGACCCTTATATTATTTGTTTTTATAAAACAGAGCCCTCTGGTATTTTTGTGAAAAGTATTACAAAAGGCAGTGCTGTGGAGCAAGATGGAAGGATTCATGTCGGAGACCAGATTATTGCTGTAAGTAAACCAGTATTATCTATTTTTTGTAGTGTGTTCCAGACAGTTTGACTGCAGAGTGTTCACCTTATACCTGTCCTAAATCTTTAAACCACATTGATCTGCTTGATTTCATTTTTTATGCTGTCTTGAACAGTTAGAAAAAGGTATAAATGCCATCCTCTAAAAGAAGAAGCGGAATACTTACATTGATTTCAAACAGCAAATATTGTATAATATGGATAATATATTAAATATCATCAATATACCTGTAACAATACATTGATGTTAAAGGGAGCACACAAAATTTAGAAAACATGTTGGAGGGAGAACTATTTGCCTATGCTTAACAAAGCACAAAATAATGTGTAATATATAGTAACTATTAATAAAGAAGAATTGAATGTATAAGAACTAGTCAGAATTCACACATTGTTTTAAACTGAATTCTGGCTGCTATGTCTAAATGTTATTTCTTCGTGTTCTGAATTGTGTTTTCATCTGTTTACATCAAGCTGTATGTATGTTAATAGGGCTTCTGTATTCTGTTTCCAATAAAACCAAATTTCAAATGTGCAGCAAATTTGATATCTTTGAAAGAGAGAATAGTGTTTTTATGCTGCACAAGCCTGCATTTGCTTAGTAGTAGTGTGAGGACATGTTATTTACTAAAGATCTATTATACTGATTTTCTTTGTATCATATATTCTCACCAGTTTAATATCACTATATGTATATATTAGAAGGCAGTTTTCGATACCCATAGAGTACCGTTGCTATTACAGAGAAGTGGAATGCCTGCTCTAGCCAGATGGCAGTCTCACCCAATTCAGAGAGCCATATTAGGTAGAAGGTTATGTGGCGTGTCCAGTGGACAATCATATTGTTCATATTCAGGGTACTTCTGTAACTGATAAAATCCTATTATTAGCTATGCTAGTAGTTAATGAGTTCTTATTTTTTGGCAGAATATTATTTTATCACGAAGATAAATTGCTAATAGGAAACAACATTTTGCCAGTTCCCTGTGTACACACTGGTTTTGTTCATGAATATTTAATGCTGTGTATTTACACAGCAAGGAGTCTTTTTCCTAAATGAATGGAATGGAAAACAAATCATTGGTTGTAAAGTATTAGAATTATTAAATGTACTTTGTGGTATGCCTTTAAGCCTAGTATGTATTTCCCATTGCTGTCAATCAGAACATTTATGCAGCAGAACAGATGGTGTAATATATCCTTAAGAGGTTATGCTGTTTATTTTGAAAATCATCTAAGATTATTAGAAAGCAAAACATAAAAATCTGGATGTCAGTATGCACCATTATATTTGTATTTCAAACCAGTATGCATGCATAGTTACTAAGGATGAAGAAAGATTGATGTCTATCAAGTTAAAGCAGCCTTAAACCCAAAAACAAAAATGTATTAGAATGCAGCTTACCAATTTTTAGATGTGATGGCTATGGTTGTTTTCTTTTTTTTTATGTCTTTTCTTCTTTACTTTCACTTGGTGATCAGGCCAGTAAGTCTGTTATTTTTTAATTTCCTTTAACGGACCAAGCTGTCCAGACAAGGCCTAAGACTGGGCATAGATGGATTGTTTTTGTGTGTGTGCAGCCAGCAGGCTAATAAAAAAAAAAAAAACATATTGCTCCATCTATACAATTTAGGTAGATGGAGGAATCCTACCTGCTGAGACAGTGTATTCTGACAGCGGGAGCTTTCCACAATCCGAATACACTGATCAGCGGCTGCAGAAAATCTTCCAACAAGCTTGTTTGACAAAGTAAATCATCTGTGTTTGGTGGGAGTGGCAACATATGAATCTAAAATTGTCCCGTCCCTGCTAAACCAGCTAAATTTTGATCTATTTATAGCCAGCTTAAAATGGAAGTTTAGGTCAAAAATGTAAAAAGGGCAAACATGCAGGAATTTTAATGAGGAAGAGACATGCTTTGTCTCTTCCGCATTAAAGTTGCTTACCAGCTTGTACGCCCCTGTACAGTAAGCCGCGCATGTGCAACTTACTGTACAAATGCAGCAATGCCAAATTTGACTGAGCTCCTGTGCATGTGTGGAATTGACGGCGTCCCCATCTGGCCAATAACAGCAGCTGGCGATAAAGACCCAGAACCTGGGCACCTGAAGATGTCATTGGTTGGGCTGGAACCTCCGAAATGCTGCATCACTGGAGTTTAGGTGAGTATAGTTCCACTTTAAGGCAGGAATTGATCTCCAGGTGAAATAAAGGAAAAGAAGCCTACATAACTGTTGGGTTATACTGCCAACTGTTCTTTCAGATTCAGGCCAGATATGAAAATACTAAACAGTTCTCCAATTAACCAAGAAGCACAGGTTCTCAGTTTATTGTTTATACTGGTTTTCACTCTGCGACAGTTCTGCAGTCGGCAGTGACTACCATCTGTGTTCCAGTTCCTGCTCTTCACTTAAGGCCAGTGTGTCTGGGGATTCCTTAAGCCAGTGTTTCTCAACCATTTTATCTTGGAGGAACCCTTGACAAAAAGTTTGAGATCTCTTTTCAGATCTACAGCTCACAGAACATTGGATCTTATTAGTGAGCTGTAGATTTGACAACAATTAACAAACAAATGCAGAGCAGTGCAGGAAAGCTGTTGTAAAATGCCTTTTCTCCTTGATCCCCACTAGCCCTCCTCTCGTCCATCCCAGGTGATATTCCATTAAACATACAGGGACAGACAGAAGAAGAGGAGGACCTGTGGGGAACAGTGCAGTAAATAACAGTATCTTCCCTACAGAGCTCTGCAAATCTATAACACAGGGTTTCTCACATGGGGTTCCACCGCAAGTCAATATTGTGGCAGATGTATATCCACCCAATGTTTTTAATACGCATTAACAGTGCGCATTGATAGCTGATGCCTCCTCTGTAGTTGTGGTTCCTGTGTACTCAGAGGGTGGCATCCAGTGGAGTGCAGAGAGTGGGAACACATGGCTTGATCAGGAGGTGACATCTTGTGTATGGCACCAGTGAATGCAGACTGTGGGGGGGGGAGCAGAGAGTGGGAGCACATGGGTTAATGTAGCAAGGGGGGACATCCTGTGTATGGAAGTGCTGAATGAAGACTACAGGGGCACATAGCTGGATGAGACTGAATGTAGCAGGAGGTGAGATCATAATAGTTTTATGTACAGTTCTGGCATAATATAAAGTGAATATGATCTCATCTCCTCCTACATTCAGTCTCATCCAACTGTGCGCTCCCACTCTGGAGTCTGCATCCATGCTGCCAAACACTGGATGTCACCTCCTGTTTTAGCCATGTGCTCCTTCTCTCTGCTCAATCTCCAGTCTGTATTGACTGCTGCCCTACACACACAGTGCTCCGTCTCTCTGCCTCCCTCTGCACCCCCTTCCCTGCACTTTACATGGCACCACTACACAGAGTCATCAAGGAATCTCACCTAGTGATCCAGTCATGGGCTCATGCCTTTGTGCTCCCTCCCACCGTCTTGTGATCAGCACTGCCTTAGAAAGTGACACCTCCCCCTTCAGCTCCCGCTCTTTGCAGTACTCCTGGGCTCATCGGAGCCAGAACTACAGAAAAGTCATCCGGTATCATTGCGCGCTGACAGTTCTGACTGTCAGAGTGCATTGAGAACATTACTGGAAACACCATTGGGCGGTATACATCCGCCACAGTGTTGATTTGCGGCAGAACCCCTGGGGGACTTCTGCCTTAAGCAGTCATCGGTTCACAGTTCAGTCACTTTTCCCATACCCATTTCTGAAAATCACTGTTGTAATAGACTAGCCAGCGTATGCTGGTTTGAGGTTTTTCTTTCTGAGCTTGCTTATACTTTATGCACTTTGGAAGTTGACTAAATGTTGAAGCTCTCCTCTTTCTTCTGCTCAGACTGTACAAGGGGAACAGTTTCATCTTTAATTTTCCTGCCTGCTCCTTCTCAGCTACAACTCAATGATGCAAGGAGCACACGGGAACACGCCTGTGCACTATTCTTCCTTACTTTGAAGGAACATTTAGTTACAGCTAGAGAATGTCTGGGGTGAGCAGTATACACTTGCTGTATTTTCATGTGTACACCTGCTGTACTGTTCAGTGTGGAATTACACTTTCAGTTTCTGGAAACTGGCAAGACCCTGAATGACTGTGACCATTTAACACCTCTGCAAACATGCACGCTGTGTGTAGACCAGAGTCAGATTGTAATTGGGAATTTTACTTTTAAATCTCTCTTGGTTCATTTACAACAGCTGTTGTGGATTCTTGTGTGCAGTTGTTGTCATGTAGGAACCAATGGATTTCTTTCCAGTGTCTTTCTGTAGCCACTATATCTTTTTTTAGGGAAGGTACTGGCTGGAGCCCTGTTACAAGTCTCATTGTTGCCTTTGGTGCTATTGTACATTTGGGTAATTGGGAAATTTGATTTGGGTCTTAACCCATAGATTTATTTTTTTGTTTGCCCTTCGCTATCTTTGGTGATCGAAGTATGGTTACAAGTATAACTAAAGGCAAAAGTTTCTTTTTAGTTTTGGATAGAGTGGAGAGGGATTAGAACACCTGTCAGGTTTTACTGCTGTCTGTGTCCCTGTTAGGCTGACTTCACTGTCTCTGTTTGTTTGTTTTGTTTACTGTTATCATTGACCGTGAAAGTAAAAGAAAATCCCAAATTTTGGATTCTCCCCAGAATTATAAAAGAGGGGAAATCTTCCAATGAGAACACTAGTACTGCTCGCCTGGGGGTCCCAAGGAATTCCCTTAAAGTGGTAGTAAACTCTCATTTTCTATTTTTACCTACATGTAAGCTTATAAAAAAGCTTCCCTATAGGTAAAATGAATGTTTAGGTAAACATTTAGGAGATATTCTACACAGCAACAGCCGGTGACATCACCGGCACATGTGCTCTGAGGGAACAGTATACCCGTGCTGTTCCTTCAAAGCTGTGTGCTGTGGTTGAAACACCCGCACGCATGCCATTCAAGCAGCCGCAGCCTGCAAGCCCGGAAGAAAGACCGGGTGAAGATGAAAGCCCTGTAGGACTTTGTTCTAAGGTAAGTCTTTAGCACATTATGATATGCCTTTGCAGCAGGAAACATTTTTTGTTGTAAACCAGTTTACTACCGCTTTACTTTGCAAAGATTTCCTCTCACTTCTTGTTTGGCTATGGGACAGGAAGTCAAGGGAGATCTCCACAATGGAACACAGATGGTGAAAATAAAATCTAACAGAGGTTATAACAGTCCCTTGCTCTAGTCTAAACCCATGGGAAGAGGTCTACTTTTGGCCTGGTTCAGCTGTCTCCTGGGGACAACCCATAGGATATTCCCCTCTGTGGTTTGTGTCAGGATCCTTCTGAGGATCAGATCTTAGATGTGGACTCTGTACCCTCTCTGAGTGAAGGCTCAGTCACAGCAAATTTGATCTGGAGCTAGTATGCTGATATCTATGAGTTTGTTTTCTTCCTTTTTTGGCAGTCATATTTACACTTTAAATAAGTGGCATTGACTTCTCCTGCTTGTGATTTTTACCCTGTGGAACCATGGAGTATGCGTGGATAGATAATTTTTTATTTCAGCTGTTCTTCTTGTTTTGCTATCACATGGATCTCCTGTGAGTAATTGTGCTTGGGCGCCCAGATTAAGGTGCTGGACTGCTGAATTCTTGTATCAGAAGCGGTGTTCTGCCCGGTGTTTGAGTGGCAACATCCCTTTGGATTATTTCTAGATACAATTTATCTAGGATGCTACTGAAAGAAAACACACTCATCTTTCTCAGTGGAAGAAGACTAAGGAGTAGACTGCTATGTATCCCCCCGGACTGTTAAAAAAACATTCCTTTTGTTTCTTCACTTTCTCCTTGAGACCATCACAGTGGGGTACCCAGTCCACCCCCAAGGTTTGGCACTCAAACTCTCTTGAATTCCCAAATGAAAACTCCTCAGCTGGCAGCTGTACCCACCCTCTTTTCAGAGTGAATGGATGCTCAGACAATGCATTTTTCATAATATGAACCAAAAAACAAGTAGAAACAGCAGTTGAATTTCACGTGTGCATGATCAAAACAAGGAAGAGTGAATTCTGACTAGTTCCTCGGAGGAACTATACTTCTTGAATGTTTATCTTATGAACCATCTCCATGATCCTGTGCCTTTTTGCTGCATGTTGTCCAACACATTTATCTAAACAAGTAATATTACCACAGTGTTAGGTTTACAACCTTATATTTTTTGAAAAATACATTTCATTTGCCATTGAATTGTCCTTGTTGGTTTGTTGCAATTCTTCAGTTATATGTGACTATCGAGTTTTAATAATTTAAAGGCGAAGTACAGCCAAAGCTCTTTTGGCTGTACTTCTTCTGTGGATCACAGGAGTGCAGTTCATTCTGACCTGTTTTCAGCTGACAGCGGGCTGACAGTCACCGCTCTCTGCTCAGAGCGGACAGGAGAACTCGTCAATCAGCGGTCATGTGATCACTCACCCTTAGAGGCAGCGGGGGACAGATGCAGCATCGGACCAATGTTGCATCCACTTAGGTAAGTATAAATAAGGAACAAACAAGCCCTACTTCTCTTTTAATATCATTTACGTATAATCTTTTTTCTTACCTATCTGTATTTGATATATTTAGGTTGATGGAACTAATCTTCAGGGTTACACAAACCAGCAAGCAGTGGAAGTGTTACGTCACACGGGGCAAACTGTCCATCTGACTTTAATGAGGAGAGGTCAAAAACAGGAAGTTATTCCTCAGCCACCTGAGGAATCTGCAAAAACAACTGACCAAGCTATGACTGTGCAAAATGAAGATGATGGTCATGGTAAATGACAACATTATACTAATTATGTACCTGATTGCTGATGTTTTCAGTTCACTGATCGGTCACTGTATTGAGCAGATCAGTTGAATTTACCATGTGTACATTATTATTGATTTTTGCAATGTTTTGTATTTAAAAAAGCCAGTTCCTTAAAGCAGATATAGCTTACGTTTTTTTGGAAGCGAAGGCACTGAATCTCTCACTGACCTGAGGCAAGTATATATTGCATATCAGGTTTCAGGACACGAGATATGCACATGCTTGTTCCGGGGCACTTAAGCTGTTTCCTCCACCCACACAAGCAAGGGGTATGGAGGAATCCTCTCCCCTGGACATATTCTGATCTGTGGGACTCGGTGCTGTCAGAATACAATGATCAGTGGCTGCAACTGATTGCAAAGATGAGTATAAGAGCACAGGTTTGTTGTTATAAAAAACTCATCAGTGATTCCCCCATGGTATTTCCGTTTAGACAGATTGCCTTTAACCACTTGCCTACAGGGCACTTATACCCCCTTCCTGCCCAGGCCAGTTTTCAGCTTTCAGTGCTGTCGCACTTTGAATGACAACTGTGCAGTCATGCTCCCGGAGCCGCATGCGCAGTTAGAATGGGAGGACCTCATATGACGTCCTCTCAGAACGAGGGAACCGCCTTGCGCCCGTCATTACCTTATATGGCGGGTGGGAGGCGGATAAATAATTTAATGTGAAAAATAATAGGTGGATACCAATGCAGAAAAAAATTAAAAACACAGTTGAAATAGCTGATGTGGCTTTGTCAGCTAACCTTATGCTCGTTCTGTAGCTGCCACTGATCTCCATGGGTATTTATGCTTCTATTCACAAGTAAAGGTGGCACATTCTACTCACACTATAAGCTGTGTGCCCTTCCAAAGCAAAAGCATCAAAAATAACCCCCCTAAATTCTTTTGGCTACAAATATTATTTACCACAGTTGTTTACACAGTTTTTAAATAAATAAAAAACTAACTTGATGTGCTCTTCTTGATCTTTTATTTAATGCAAACGATGCCCAATCGAATGGGTTACCAGATAGTTGTATTGTTCTTATGTATATTTGGCTAGGTGAGATGTTTTCAATTACAATAAAAATAATGTGGATGAGCATATTAAAATAACACATGTTGTATTTACCTTTATAATACCATTGCACAGAGCAACCAGAAACCTCATCTTCTGGGGTCCCCCGCCGGTGACCTTGGCTCCTCCTCTTCTTCGAATGCCCCGATAGTAAGCCGCTTGTTATGGGGGCACTTGTGCAGGCTCATCCCCAAGCCAGGCTGTGTACACACACAGCACTGCTTGACTCCTCCTCCCATTCCTTTCTCACAGGATTTGACTGACAGCAGCAGGAGCCAATGGCTACCACTCCTCTCAGCCAAACTTGTTACAGAGGGGAGAAGAGCTGCTGCAGACTGGAGAGCGGTGGGTTGAGAATGGACTCAGTAACAGTTTAAGGTGGGCTGAGGGAGAGCTGCTATTGAAAGGTTTTTTTTTTTTTTGTTTACTTTATTACGAAGAATGCGTTAAGGTAAATAAACCTTTTTTGCCTTTTGAACCACTTTAGTCTGGCCATGCATTGTTAGATTTCTGTTCAGTCAACAGGCTGAATGGGAGCAATCTAAGAGTCCTCCATCCACAATAAACAGTGTGGATGGAAGAAGCTCCCTGGTAGCCTATTGTGTTTTGATAGCTGCTGCTGGTGGCTGTCAGAATAGCCAAACAGTGGCTGCATTTGATTGGATGCAGCTGCTGTTTGCCTGAAAAATTTTCAGCAGGCTGCTCAGACAATAGAGTGGGGCCAGCAGGACTTCCCACTTGTGGTTTATTTTTCTTGTAGAAAAAATATTTGATGTAGGCTGCCATTGCTGACCTCCTTCTAAAGATGCTAGTTATCTGGCTAGAATGCTGATCCTCTAACTTTTAGACTTTTTAAGTCCATGTCAGAAAATCAGTTTGTAAATCAGTAACATCAGAGAAAAGTCAGAAGTTCTTATTTGCAGAAACATTTCTATCCTCTAGTAAATAGTTTATATTCAGATTTGTGTAAAAGTTATGTAATGTTCATGTCTAAATATTCATCACCTTGTTTTTTCCAGAAAGCATTAAGAAAATTCAGCCACTATCATCACTGAGCAGTAGCAATGTTGCACAGCCTACATCAAAAGGAAAAAGCATACAAACAGGTACTGGTTTCCATAGTGTGCTACATGGACATGGTGTGTGGGAAAGACATGCTGCAGCAATCTGTCAGTGGTAGAGTAGGCCAGCTGTCCCTCAGATCTTCTTCCCAACTATATTGTGGCATCTGACAGTTTTCATTTATTTAGAGAATGTATTAAAAAAATAAATTGACCTGTGTTTTTGGAGCCTTTTTTAAAAAAATGCATATGCTGCTGTTAATTTCTTTGTGATATAAAGTAAAGAACAACAATATGGTTAAAATCCTGCTTTTTTTTCTCTGCATGCTGTTTTTGGATAGAGAATGAAGGTAAAAAAAACAGATTTTTTTTTTTCAAAAGAACCGCTGGCAGTAATTTCAATGATGAAAAACTGCTGCATTTGCATCATATGGTCGTTTTATGGGATGCAAGCAGAAATGTATTTAATGATAGTGGGGAGACCTTCATAAACAAAAGTAATCCCTGCTAGAATAGCAATTAGATCATTTTTTTGTTAAAAGGATAGTTAGCAATGTATTATCTATTATGGGTAAAGTAAAGAAATTAAAATAAAGTTACTTCTGTGATTTTGATAGACCTATAACCTGTTATCAGATATATTGAATAAATCCTCAATGTGTGTGACTTTCATATACCCAAAAACATTTGCTTAAAGCACCTTAACAATAGGTCCACCTTAGCGTGGACAAATAGTCAGTACTCTTTGTAATGTGAGTGCAGTCTTTTCATTGGCTGTTAGGCGAATTTCGTTCCAGTGTGGGTGAATAATTTAAATTGGCATTTTTCATTTTCTTTTCTAGAAGAATGTCTACCTGATGTAATTGATGAAGATGTACTCCGGAATAAGTGGCAAAGAATTATGGGAGCAAGTTATGAAGTTGTGGTAGGTTTGCCCTTAAATGTAATCTCTCATGTTACTGTGGTTTAGTGTATGCTTCTAATGGTAAAGTTTACCTTGATGTATATTTGTGTATACATCTCTGTGCTGTCATGGGCCAGCCTTTTGGACTGTTATCCTGTAAAAAAAAACCCTCTATTGTTAGCTCCCCAGCATCCCCCCAGATATTCACCTGAGCCCAATCTTTGATCTAGCATCACACCCAAAAGCAGCGGTGCTCCTCTTTCTGTCCCTAATCACTGGACTCAGTAAGAGCAGCGAGAGCTATTGGCTCCTGCTGCTGTCAATCAAATCTCAAGACGAGGGAATGGGGGCAGGGATGAGCCACACTGTGTACACACAGGGTATGGCTCGGGAACCAGCCCATACGTGCCACAATAGGAAGTGGCTTCCTGTGGTGGCACACGAAGAAGAGGAGGAGCCCAGAGTACCGGTGGGGGACCCCAGAAGAAGAGGATCAGGGCTGCTCACTGCAAAACCATTGCACAGAACAGGTAAGTACATTTGTTATTTAAAGCAGAACTCCATGAAAACATTTTTTTTCCCATACAGTGGGGTTGTGGCCGCACTGCATGGGTTAACTGCTTGCTTTTTCCAGTAGCGCACCAAAAGACTATATTTACCCGATCCTTCAATCTCTGGAAAACAGCGCTCCTCCACGTCCAGCAGTGGACCATTTCTGTTCCCATGTTCAGAGCTGGTCTATGAGCATGCTGACGTCAGGAGCAATCCATGCACAAGACGGTTAGCATGTCGTGGGGGGGGGGGGGCAAGAGTGGCAGGGACTGGTCTTATGCTCAGAGGATTGGCGGATTAGGCAAGTATATCTCTGATTCTCTCACCCCTAGACAAAATCAAGCAGTTAACCCATGCAGTGCAGGTACAGCCCAACTGCACAGGAAAAGAAAGTTCCTATAATTAATTTTAATTAATTTTACAATCACTTTATTTACTAGGTGTAGCAACTGATCATTAAACAAATGGAACACATGACTCGGTATGGAGTAAGGAGCTTGTAGTAGTAATCAATATTAGACCATGCTCAATTTATCTGTGATTAATTGCTGTGAGATGCTAATACATGTGTGGCTCAATCCATATGGCGCCACTTGTTCAAGTTGTTTTGTAAATCTGGTGAATAATCAATAATTTTTAGTAGCAGGATTAAGTTACTGAAAATGTCCTGCATATCTCTAGCCTGAGAAGGTTACTGGTACAAGTGGTTAAATAACTTCGGGAGACAAAAATCGCTCATGTTTCTCTAGCTTCAGCATTGCCTCCTATAAAGATTAGGCCTCATTCACCCAGGTGTATCAATATGTACACCCATTAGAAGGGCTGTGGGATCTACAAGTGTTCAGTCAGGTTTGTGATCCATTCATCTGGTCCCTGATAGATGTATTTGGGGATGTGCTTGGAGATCCATGCAGGTCTGTGCAGCCCTCCGCCTGTCATTGATTTGAATATTCTGCCTGCATAGAACAGCCGTACATCCTTGAATGAGGCATACCCACCGATGGCTAATCTCCAGTCATGATTATCACAACACGTGTGTAGGAGTTTTGCATGACTTACTGTATTGTGTGGTGCAAAGTGACAACTGTGCTTTTTAAAACATATTTTTGATGTGCTACCAGGCAAGAGTCAAACTTCATAGGATGCACATGAAACCTTCATCAGTGGTATATAACTTGGTAGTGCATCCACATCCCTTAACTTTCTAAATGGGAGCCTTGATTTGCTGCTTAGTTGCAAATGTTTATGCTCCAGATGATTATTAAAACATCAAGACTAAACAAATACTTTTGCATTAAGAGATGTATAAATGTTAGAAGGCATCTGTTTTGCTATCATAATATGAGTTTTTGTACTGTATGTCACCTTATTTTTATGATTATGTCCCTGTAACTGTTTTGTATGTTCGACATAAAGGCTACTGAAGTAGATATTATCTCTTCTACAGAAGGTGGAATCTATAACAGAAAATATTGAGCTAGTGTTATATTTAACCATTAACATTGTAGTTTATTTTTTAGGGCTCATTCACACTATGTGTGTTGACTGGTGTTTTTCTGCACTTGATAAATGGCAGTCAGTGCAAGGGCAATTGTTTTGTATGTGCTTCTTTCGCTGTACAGCGTTGGTATAATGTCCTGTGCAATGCAATTCTGCTGTACAGAGACATGAATGAAGTGTCCTTGTGAGACACTTCAGTTAAAGTTAATAGCAAAAAAGTGCACAGCACAATATGCTGAAACACACATTAAACAGCCCCCTGCCAGGCTGCCCACATGGCAGAACACTGCATTTTACCAATGTGAGCTAGTATGAATAAGCCCTTAAAGTGATACTAAACCCCGGACCCTACAATCACAGTACAGACAACATGGAAATGCCATCATTTTATTAAACATAAACTGCTAAATGCCTTTTCTCATCAGCAGTTAGAGCAGTCTTGTGACTTCAGCAGAGCACTGGTTAAAGCTTGTAGGGGGAATTTTCTTTCAGCTCTAGGAGGATGTGAAACCCTTGACCCTTTGTCTGGACAGTGCTGATTGGCCCTGTGCTGATCACATACACTCTCCCAAGAAAAAAAAAACCTCTCTAGCAAAACACACCAAACTGAGCATGTGCATATGACTACGGATTCAGATTGTATCAGGTGGTCATTTGAACAAGAGGAGGGGCAGAGAAGAAAGGATCAAACAGCCTTGTTACATAGTGCAGAGTATTAACCCCTTCCACAGCGAGTATAACAAACACGCTTTACTGCATATACAGACTGATTTTACTGTTGTGGGTTTAGTAACACTTTAAAACATAAGAATTATGCCCTTGCCTGTCCTGCAATCCACCTCCTTGTGCATATTATCAAGAAATTGTTAGGAGAATGCTGGTGTGATATCAGGAGTGGCATTTGTTTTTGTGGGAATCAGGCAGGCCATAGATGGGCCCCGTTGCCGATGCTGTCACCCACGGCCGTTTTTTTCGCGGCTTTTCCAGCATGAACGATAAAAATAAATGAGGAGATCTGCGAAAAATGGCCAACAGGCTGGCCCCACTAACGGCGTGATTATCGGCTGATTTTTCATGTGGACGAAAATTTGGCCGATAAACAACCCGTCTATGGCCTGCATAAGGGAACAAGAAGGTCTCTAGTTTTCCAGTTGGATTACACTCCATCTAAAATGAAAATCAGGACCCGAAGTGTACACCACAGCCTATCTATACTGGGCTTTTTTTATGTTTAGGCATTCATGTTGTATTACAGGACACATTTGCCTTTGCCAATGAATTTACAATTGTTTGCTGAACATTTCCAATCCACATATGTTATTAGGTGATATGATGTCCGCAATACCACAACCACAATTTGTAAAGTTTCTTTTGTTTATGTGTTACAATACACTTGCGTGCATACAGTCAGGTCCAAAAATATTGGGACACAATTTACATTTTTGGCTCTATCCAAATTTGAAATGAAACAAACAAGATGTGCTTTAGACTGTCAGAGGGTACGGTGTAGGAATTACAACAGTTTGCATATGTGCCTCCCACTTGCTAAGGGACCAAAAGTAATGGGACAGAATAATAATCATAAATCAAACTTTCACTTTTTAATACTTGGTTGCAAATCCTTTGCAGTCAATTACAGCCTGAAGTCTGGAACGCATAGACATCACCAGACGCTGGGTTTCATCCCTGGTGATGCTCTGCCAGGCCTCTGCTGCAACTGTCTTCAGTTCCTGCTTGTTCTTGGGGCATTTTCCCTTCAGTTTTGTCTTCAGCAAGTGAAATGCATGCTCAATCGGATTCAGGTCAGGTGATTGACTTGGCCATTACATAACATTCCACTTCTTTCCCTTAAAAAAACTCTTTGGTTGCTTTTGCAGTATGCTTTGGGTCATTGTCCATCTGCACTGTGAAGCGGCGTCCAATGAGTTCTGAAGCATTTGGCTGAATATGAGCAGATGATATTGCCCGAAACACTTCAGAATTCATCCTGCTGCTTTTGTCAGCAGTCACATCATCAATAAATACAAGAGAAGCAGTTCCATTGGCAGCCATACATGCCCACGCCATGACACTACCACCACCATGCTTCACTGATGAGGTGGTATGCTTGGGATCATGAGCAGTTCCTTTCCTTCTCCATACTCTTCTCTTCCCATCACTCTGGTACAAGTTGATCTTGGTCTCATCTGTCCATAGGATGTTGTTCCAGAACTGTGAAGGCTTTTTTAGATGTCGTTTGGCAAACTCTAATCTGGCCTTCCTGTTTTTGAGGCTCACCAATGGTTTACATCTTGTGGTGAACCCTCTGTATTCACTCTGGTGAAGTCTTCTCTTGATTGTTGACTTTGACACACATACACCTACCTCCTGGAGAGTGTTCTTGATCTGGCCAACTGTTGTGAAGGGAGTTTTCTTCACCAGGGAAAAAAATTCTTTGGTCATCCACCACAGTTGTTTTCCGTGGTCTTCCGGGTCTTTTGGTGTTGCTGAGCTCACCGGTGCGTTCCTTCTTTTTAAGAATGTTCCAAACAGTTGTTTTGGCCACGCCTAATGTTTTTGCTATCTCTCTGATGGGTTTGTTTTATTTTTTTCAGCCTAATGATGGCTTGCTTCACTGATAGTGAAAGCTCTTTGGATCTCATCTTGAGAGTTGACAGCAACAGATTCCAAATGCAAGTAGCACACCTGAAATGAACTCTGGACCTTTTATCTGCTCATTGTAATTGGGATAATGAGGGAATAACACACACCTGGCCATGGAACAGCGGAGAAGCCAGTTGTCCCATTACCTTTGGTCCCTTAACAAGTGGGAGGCACATATGCAAACTGTTGTAATTCCTACACCGTTCACCTGATTTGGATGTAAATACCCTCAAATTAAAGCTGACAGTCAGCAGTTAAAGCACATCTTGTTTGTTTCATTTCAAATCCATTGTGGTGGTGTATAGAGCCAAAAATGTTAGAATTGTGTCGATGTTCTAATATTTATGGACCTGACTGTATATACAGTATGCAGTTTGTATCACTTTAAAATTGTATTTTACAAAAATCTAGCATATAATATTATGTCAACATTAGTTTTTTTTACTTCTGCTATATTTTCTTCCTCTGTTATCTTTTCATTCCAGGGATGACAGTTGGAATGTGTTAAGACGTGTTCTCAAAACACAGCTCAACCTATAAAGTTGTCATGGAAACATGAACCCCTACATATATTCACTCTAGTTTTTACAGCTTTTACTGATACCTGTGCTAAATAACGTTAGATAATTCTTTGCATTGCTTTTTTCATTTTATTTTTCAGGTTGCACAGGTTAGCAAGTTTAGTGAAAGCAGTGGATTAGGGATAAGTCTGGAAGTTTCTGAAGGCCATCATTTCCTGAGATCTATATTACCTGAAGGACCAGTTGGTCGCAGCGGAAAACTTTACAGCGGTGATGAATTGCTGGAAGTAAGATCTACTTGAATTAGAAATGCACATATACAAATAGTTACAAACAAATGTGTATATGAAGTATGTGTACTTCGTCATGATTTAGTGTAGGCGTTACAGTATTATCTGACATATGACCTTAGATTTCCCATTCAGCTTCCCCTGCAGGTAAAACTGGAACTGTGCCTTTCTTAGTTTGCTTCAATGGCATCCTATGATGTGCATTTTTAGCTGAAAGAACAAACTAATCTAGACACACATATTACAATCTGATTGTACAGTATCTATTACATTTACCAAAAACTATGTATAACAAGAGCCAGCCTTACTGCATTTTAATTAAATTGATTGTTTCAGCAAATCTGTGCACTGCATAGGTTTCATAAATCCTAGAACACACAGGCCGAATGTCGGGCGGCATCGACTAGTTCAGGGTCTGCAACCTTTAAGACATAAAGAGCCACTTGGACCCGTTTCCGAAGGGAAAAAAAGACTGGGAGCCGCAAAACCATTGCAACATTTAAAACAAATCCGACACTGCATATATTGTTTCTTATCTTAATGCAGTGGTGGGCAACCTTTTTTTTCAACTGAGCCAAATCTCGCCAAAACCACGATTGAAATTTATTTTGAGAGCCACATTTTTAAAACTGAAAATACATCCCCCATATAGTAATTCTTCCCCCATAGTAATTCATCCCCCATATAGTAATTCATCCCCCATATAGTAATTCATCCCCCATATAGTAATTCATCCCCCATAGTAATTCATCCCCCATAGTAATTCATCCCCCATATAGTAATTCATCCCCCATAGTAATTCATCCCCCATATAGTAATTCATCCCCCATATAGTAATTCATCCCCCCTATAGTAATTCACCCCCCCTATAGTAATTCATTCCCCATATTGTGTCAATTCACTTACCTTTGCTCCGCGCGTTCCTCTCGCCGTGTTCCTGCGCCGTTCCGGTCTTCAGGGCGGACTGTGAGAGGAGAGGAGTTCGTCACGCTGCCCCGCCTACATCCTGACAGCCAATGTTTGCCACGCTCCGCGGGCCGGATTAAGAGGTCCGCCGGGCCGTAGTTTGCCCATTGCTAAGCTAGCTGCAGAGTCCTGACTTTTGGGGCGGCCGCCCGAGAGGAGGGAGGGGAGCGGGCGCCCGGCACACAGAAGAGCTGCATTAAAATGTGTAAAGAGGCCGCATGTGGCTTGCGAGCCGCGGCTTGCCGACCACTGAGCTACGGCAACCCTATTGCCTGTCACCTGGTGGGCAGTGTGGCTCCGGAGCCGCAGCAAAGGTGAAAAAGAGCCGCATTTGGGCTCTGGAGCCGCGGGTTGCCAACACCCGGACTAGTTCAATAGAAACCGGCTGACATTTGTTCGTACGGCAGCTGCTCCATTTGGCCGGCCTCTGTCGAAGGGGCATGACCGAAAAAGGGTCTGCCGATCTGCACTCTCAGCCAATGGTTGAGAGCGCTGACTGGAGTGTCTGAAGTGTTCACAACACAATAGCACAGCAGGGGAGATCGCTGCACTAACATTGGATAGTTCGTACAGCGGCTCCTTCTGAGCTGTCAGTTTTTTTCGTTCAGCCCGCTGGGTTGAACGAAAAAAAAAAATAGTAGTGTGTACTAGTCTTAAAAAGAACTTGTGTATTCAGATTGCAACATGTGACAAGATTTAGTCTCATCAGGCAACATACACAAACAAAGGACAAAGTCTCCATATTGCTTGCAAAATAATTGTGCTGCCCTGTTACTACATAAAATGGGCTGATGCACATATATAGTTTGATTTAACATGGAAATGTAGGGATCTATAATAAATGAAGTTTGTTTCTTCTGTTGGTGAATACAAAATTACTTAATTTCCTTATACACTACTTTAGCATGTTTTGTTTCTTTTACAGGGGAACATAAAATTAGTGGTTCAGTATTAAAGCTGAAGGTTAGAAAAAAATTACCTTTAACTTTAGTCACATCACTTACCTGTAATGAAGCATGTCCCACAACATGCGGGCAGCTGGATCCTGGAGAAATCTTCACTGCAGGAATGCCCTGTCTTCTTCCTGGCTCTGAATGTTTGATACTGGAGTGGATAACCACTTAGGATCTTCAGACAGAATATCAGTAAAGATGGTCTGATGAGGATCTGCCCCTCCTCCCTCCATTGGGAAACACTCTTTCATGTTTTCACTGTTTGTAACATGATCTGTGAATGGGGGAGAGATTCTTGTGACTGACCAGACTCTCCCATTCCCAGATACTGTAACAGGTAGTGTAATCAATGAAAGAACCTTTCTCAGTGAAGGAGAAAGAAGGAGGGGCATGTCCCATTTAGATCACCTTTACTGCGGTTCTCTCTGAATACTCGAAGCTGTTACTATTACATTGGTAGAAGTTCAGAGAAAGGAAGAGGACAGATATCCCTGCTTTGAAGATTTCTCCAGGAACCAGCTGCCCACACAACGTAGGGCATACTTCATTACAGGTAAGTGATGTGACTAAAGCTGTAGGAATTTTTTTTTCTTTTAGTAAATTTCAGCTTTAATATAATAGTATTAGTCGAGGTTTATTAGACTTTTTGAGCAATATTACATCCTTGGGTCTGAAACAGGTCTTCAATCACATTATTCCCAGGGCACAAGTTCCTGAAAATGGCTATGTGGTGTTGCTGGGTGCTTCACAGTGATCACAGGCTGGGAACCATGGATACTGAATGTGAAAAAAAATGTCACGTATTCCTCAAACAGATCCAAAGTTTTATTCCATGGTCACATAGTGCAAACAAAATCAACGTGCCTGTTGAAGGGACCTTGCATGGCTCCGAAACCTTGTGACCACGGAATAAAACTTTGGTTCAGTTTGAGGAATCCTTGGTGTGCTGGTGACATTTCTTCACATGAAGTAGGTCTTCAATTTCAGGGTTAAAGTGGAACAGTGTCCTAATGTCCTGTCTGAAGTTCCTTTTGTGCACTATGCGTGTATAATAATGTAAGGTGGTCTATTTAACTTTTTTAAGGTAAATGAGGTCTCGCTACTTGGTCAGAGTCATAAAAGATGTGGTAAATATCTTGAAGGAGCTGCCAATTGCTGTAACTATGGTGTGCTGTCGACCAGTTCAGCAGCTTAATAGCCCCTGTAATGATGATGAACAATACATTTCAGAGAATGATATTCATCTGATTGAAAAGGTATTTATTAAATTACTTTAAAAATGTCAACATGTTTCTAATATATTATGCATTAAAATATCTTTTAATTAAAGCTCTAGCTTGTGAATGCACCAGCAATGGAACATATATTAGATTTATTGACTTTGGAGGTTTCCCGCTCTTCTGTATGGCGCATAAATTGTTAAAGTAATGTGTAATATTCACACATGTGGTGCCATAGCTCAAAGCCAGAAAAAATAATACTAGGTGCTCAAAGGCTGATACGATGTTAGTTTGCTTTTGTTATTCTAATTTGAATTCTTTTGTGTTTGGCTATATTCTATAATGTTTGCAATACATGATTTAAGGCAATATGTAATTGGAAAGTTTTAGCTGCCAAATAAAAACGCACTGCACACTGATGTGTTCTGGAATCACATTAAAGGGTACCCATTAGGGCAGCTGTTATCTGTCACTCCCAAGTGTTGTCAGAGCTTGTCATTGCTTGGTCACTGGAAATAGCACTAGTTTGGAACCAGCATGTCGCTAATCAGGATGCTGCAGAAGACCCAGGGCTAGCACTACTTTCAGAGCTGGTTTACACTAAGCCTGCATTGTAAAAGCTGTTACTTGGTGGATAGCTGTCAGTGTGAGCTATGGCAGGGAGCAGTGTGATGTGCATTTCACTTTAATATATAATGACACTTTATTCATTTCTCCCGCACAGCAGTTCAGTGATACTCAGTGCTATCCAGTGCACTGTGGAAAAATGCAAACATGCTGCATTTTTTATGCACTGCACTGCGCCACTCATCACAACAACATTGTGGTGTAAATGGTGCACATAGAAAACAGTTGTCTTCTTTGTGCCCTAACAGTGATCTGCATTTATCTAGTGCAGACAAATTCAGACATACTGTCCTGGTATGTTTGTTTGGTTGCTGGTGCTGTAGACAGTCATTGTGATTTCTCCTTTTGGAAATTCTGGTTTCCTGACTGTTGCTTCCAGGGACACTGACTTGGAACAAGTATGCAGTTCACATATTATAATCATTCTCTGGTTTGACTGGCTGCATGCTGGTTCAATGCCTGAGGAAAGTCAGAGACAGTCAACCAACATTCTGCAATCACCATCTCTACATATCTCTATGTACCTGTTTTCTTTGGGGCATCAACGATTGCCTAATTCATAGCAGGGGGCAGTGTTTGCTTTTTTGGAGTATGTGTGTTTTATATTCCTTGAGTACTGTTGCATGTCAGGAAAAACAGCACTGCATTTAGCATACAAAGGCAGGATTGTAACATTGGATATAATGTTTGTAACATACTATTCTTATGTCACACAAGGTGCTTGGTACCCATTTTGTCAGGGCCATAAAGGGTTAGTGAAACTTAGCCATAAGTGCTCATACAAAGCTTCATGATGCAGGATAGAATTGGCAGGGCTAAGGGTTGACACTAATTTTGCAGGTAATTGTTGGGAAATTAATACCGAATTAGTAATTATCTTTGCAAAGAATATACAAAATTATGCTGAGAGTGGTAGAGTAAATGCTAGAAGCTTCACTTGGCAACTGTAGTTTTGCCATTTGACAGCTGAACCCAACACCTGTTATAATTCCATAGTCCTTACACAGGTACAACTCCCTCTGAGAAGCTGCAAGCGCAATGTATGAAGAGTGTAAGTATATTCTGGGCAGGAGGACAAGACACAAGATGTAAAAATAAGTATGTATGTGAGAATGCATGGTACTGTATGTGAATCTTAGTTAGTTTTTTACTGTTTTTGTTTTCATATGAAATTACAGAAAAAAACACTCCCTGAGAGAATGAAACAAGAAGAATTAATCACAAAAAGCCCGAAAGGCAAATACACATTGTACATTTATGTAATATGCTGAAACTTAATTTTTACTGCTTTTTACAGGATGACAGTTTCACCAGTAATCACTTATCAGACCTCTGGAAAGTGCAAGATGATATTCCTGATATTCCCAGTACTGGTACAGAATTGCAGGTAATATATACGTTTGTACTTTTTTTCTGTGTATAGTTTGTATATGTCTCTTTTAATTGGGGATAACACACAGAAATTGATGATGTGTAAAGTATGGTAGCCCATACCTACCAATCAAAATAAAATATAAAATAAAGTGATAAAAGTAAACTTGACAGTAATTGGTTGGTGTTTGATGCTGCACGTTCCATATTGTTATCAAATTAGTACAATGTTCTGTGACAGGTTAAGCTTTTTTGAAAGTTTTCTCTTTAAGCATGCACACATGGATCATCACAGCAGCAGGTTTATACCTATGGAGGGGAGGAACAGGGCAACGACCCCAGCACTGGTTTGTCTCAAAGCTGTAATATTAATTCCAGTTGTATACTGCAGAAGCTTCCACTACTGTTTTTTACAGATTTTTTTCTTTCCTTTCTATTGTGAAAACCTTTCCCTTGGCTATTGCCTCTCTGTAGCTTATTCAAATATTGTATAATATAGGCCAATATTATCTAACACATCAAAATAAGGATTTTACAGTTACAAGAACAAGTATGTGAACCCCTTGGGATTACGTGGAGTTTTGCATGAATTGGGCATAAAATGTGCTCTGAAAGTCACCTAAGTCACAACAATAGAAGAACACAGTCTGCTGAACATAATACTACACAAACATTAGATGTTGCCATGGTTTAATTGCACATAACATGTAAACATTCACAGTACAGGGAGGAAAAAGTATGTGAACCTTTGGACTTAATAACTGGTTGACCCTCCTTTGGCAGCAATAACCTCAACCAAACGTTTCCTGTAGTTGCAGATCAGACCTGCACAACGATCTGGAGTAATTTTGGACCACTCCTCTTCACAAAACTGTTTCAGTGTAGCAATATTCTTGGGATGTCTGGTGTGAATCGCTCTCTTAAGGTCATGCCACAGCATTTCAATCGGGTTGAGGTCAGGACTCTGACTGGGCCACTCCAGAAGGTGTATTCTGTGCTTTTTGCAGCCATTGTTTTGTTGAATTACTTGTATGCTTTGGGTCATTGTCCTGTTGCATCACTCATCCTCTGCGGAGTTTCAGTTGGCGGACAGATGGTCGTACGTTTTCCTGCAAAATGTCTTGATAAACTCTGGAATTCATTTTCCCATCAATGACAACAATCCGTCCAGGCCCTGAGGCAGCAAAGCAGCCCCAAACCATGATGCTCCCTCCGCCATGTTTTACAGTGGGGATGAGGTTTTGATGTTGGTGTGCTGTGCCTTTTTTTCTCCACACATAGTGTTGTGTGTTCTTCCCAAGCAACTCAATCTTGGTTTCATCTGTCCACAGTATATTTTGCCAGTAGTGCTGTGGAACATCCAGGTGCTCTTTTGCAAACTTCAAACGTGCTGCAATATTCTTTTTGGACAGCAATGGCTTCCTCCGTGGTGTCCTCCCATGTACTCCATTCTTGTTTAATGTTTTCCTTATTGTAGATGTGTCAACATAAATGTTAGCATGTGCCAGAGATTTCTGTAGGTCTTTAGCTGACACTCTGGGATTCTTCTTTACCTCATGCAGCATTCTGCGCTGTGCTCTTGCAGTCATTTTTACAGGACGACCACGCCTAGGGAGAGTAGCAACAGTGCTAAACTTTCTCCATTTGTAGACAGTCTGTCTTACCGTGGACACATGAACATCAAGGCTTTTGGAGATCCTTTTGTAACCCTTTCCAGCTTCATGCAAGTCAACAATTCTTGATTGTAGGTCTTCTGAGAGCTCTTTTCTGCGAGGCATAGTTCACATCAGACAGTGCTTCTTGAAACCAGTAAACCCAAAACAGGTGTGTGTTTTTTAAGGGCAGGACAGCTGTCAGCAACACATCCAATATCATCACACTGATTGGAGTCAAGGTTGGCTCACTCCTGGCTCCAATTAGCTCTGGGAGAAGTCATTAAGCTAGGGCCTCACATACTTTTCCTCCCTGCACTGTGAATGTTTACATGTTATGTGCAATTAAACCATGGCAACATCTAATTTTTGTGTAGTATTATGTTTAGCAGACTGTGTTCTTCTATTGTTGTGACTTAGATGACGTTCAGTAGTTGTGGACGTTTTGGAAATAGACTCAAATATTAGACGCTCAAATACAACATAAATAGCTGTTCACGCTATTTACTGCAGTAGTATGTCACTGTGCAGATAACATCTAGCAGCGTCTAGCATGCCACCTGAAGACTGTGATTGATAACTGTAAAATATTCATATGCAGTATTTCAGTAATACCTGATTAAGGCTCTATGCACACTAGCTTATTGTTAAGCTCCAAGCAGCTAGTTTAGAGCAGGGGTCACTAAATGGTGGACCGCAGTCCAGAACCGGACCGAGGAACAGCCAGCCACGCAGCCACGCCACTGTCGAGTTCCCCCCCTCGGGGCCGCCAGGCTTAAGATGATTGGACCACACAGCAGGAGGTAAGCGGTGACTACGGTCTGAACGGTGCTAATACAGACCGCAGCCACCGCTCACCTCCTGCTGTGCAGCAAAAGCAGGGCCAACAGGAGGAGCGGAAGTGACGGCTCCAGTAACAAACAGGAAGTGTCGCTGACACAGGGACACCTCCTTAGCTGGCCACTGCACTGAAGGGACAGTGGTGGCCTTTCTTCTTCACCCGCCAACACATTATGACAGGTCTGTAGCGGCAGTGGATGGGGCTGTGGGCTCTTTGCTGGATGGTCTGTCTCTTTGCTGGACGGTCTGTCTCTTTGCTGGATGGCAACATCCCTTTGCTGGATGGCGATGTCTCTTTGCTGGACTGCGATGTCCCTTTGCACAGTTGGATCCAGCAAAGAGACATCCCAATTCAGCAAAGAGAGAGCCCAGTTGAAGAAGGGACATCCCCATCCAGC